TTTATTTAATTTAATTCATTTATTCATTCATTTAAATGAAACAAAAAAAAATTATCAAAAAGAAAATATTGAATGAAAAGAGTGCAGAAAGAATAAACAATTCTTATATCTGCCCCTTATAAAATATAAAACAACTTTAAACAATCACTAAATTAATCACTTTAATATCCACTTCAAAGCTAGGAATAAAAAGAAACATGTTTTGTGTTAGTAGAATTTAATTCTAACTTTAAAACTTATCCAACATTAATAAAACTTATCTCAAGTTGCCTTTTTGGACATGCATGCATATATTTGTACAAACTGTACTTGAGAGGAGATTATTACAGCCTCATGTAAAATCAATGATGATCATGATATCGAAACTGGATCGGTATCGGCCGATATTCAGATTTAGGTATTGGGATCGGATCGGATGTAAAAAAAGCGGATCGGTGCATCCCTAGTAAAAACAATTGCCAAATCCTTCAATTCAATTCAATTCAGTTTATTTATAAAGCGCCAAATCACAACAAAGTTGTCTCAGGGCACTTTACAGGAACATTCACATATAGAGCAGCTTTGTGCGCGTTAGTTCACTGGGTCTACCCCTGAGGAAGGGAGCCGCTGAAAAAAAACAAAAAATCAGCAAATACCCAAACTGAAGTACTTGTACTTGTACACGGTGTGAAAAACTAATATCGGGACACACTTGGTTTTTTCTTTTACTCCGTGAATGCTGCGTTCATGTTCTGTTGCTGTTGGTACTTCTTGTGACAGCAGGAGAAGAGTGTGTGAGAAGACGTTCAAAGTAAAATTCAGGAGATACAGGACAATGTCGCAGCCTTTAGACTTTACGCGGGGGGGGGGGGGGGGGGTTACAATGGGACACAAAAAAATGAAGGAAACTTTTCCATTTCCTCAACAAAGTACCTAAATAACATACCTTCATTACAATTTTCATATGCATTTATCTATTTATCAGACTATTTCAGTCTCTCTCTCTTACACACACACACAAACACTAATGTTATTGCAGTCACCATCAAGGCATGAACCCCATCTTTACATCCACAACACGACTCACAAACTGGAAATACTTTCAGCAAAGTCAAACATACAGACTCTGAGGAAAACATACTGGAAATATTCAACAACGTTCAGTCAGGTCATCTGCAGTTTCTTTTTTTTGTTGTTGGTGAGAGATGTTTCGCCCTCCATCCGAAGGGCTTCATCAATCTGAGAAGTCACAAACAAACAGTTTTCCCCACTAAGTAGTACACTCCTATAGTGGACCAACCAGTTTGCTGGTGATAAGATGGTTTCTGGGGGCTGTCCTCTCCCCCGTCGACTCCTCCCAAGCTGCCACAGCCAAAGTGGTTCAAGACAACACTGTAGGATTAGGTTATCAGCCAAATAAGTTTTAACATATCGACCAAAAATCCAATATTGTGCATCCCTATTTTTCCCTCATGTTGTTCAGCTCTCACCTCATCCTCAGTGTCTCTCCCCAGGTGTTGCCATTTCTCCCTCGTTAGTTTCCCTTTACAGCTCGTCCTTTGTCTCATTTGTGTCCGTGCTTTGCGCTTTCAGTCATTTCATGGTTTTTCCCTTCAAGTCTTGCACAGTTTTTAATTTTCCATGTTTGTCCCTTTTGAATTTTTCAGAGCACTTTTTGCTAGTTAGTTTTTTTTTTTTGCTGCCTCGTCAACCTTTAGTTTTCTTTTAGGAAATATATATATTTTTTTCTTTTGAGTTCTCGTGAGTTTTGGTTCTGCATTTGGGTTCCGTTTTCCTCCTCCAGCTTGGTAATAATCATGTTTTGGAAGCATTTAATCAAAATGTGTGCATTTTATAATTTTTTTAAGCCAAATTTAATCTGCCTGTTTGAGGTGTTGCATATCTTCCTGCACATTTTAAAACTTGTTCTCTTCAATCATGCACATCATTCAGACATGTGTTGTATAAAGCTTCTTCAAACTCAAAATATAAAATTCTAAAAATAGTTCTGAATAGTGTAGACCAGATTTAAGTCAAATGAGAGAATTTTAATTCAAGATATAAAACAGTATGCGATAAAAATGGATTATCAAAACGTATTTTAACTGAATAAAGATAGGACTTTTTATTAGTTATCACACTCACGCCTTGTTTTAAGGTGAGTGAAAAAGTTAGGTCTGTTGAACCTTCAACAGCAAGTACGCTAGCTTTAAAAATACAGTAGTTCCTCGTTACGTCGCGGTTCAACTTTCGCGGTTTTTCGAAGATTGACAACTTTTATATTACTCATGTGACTGAAACAGTACGGGATACAAAGTTAACAAAAAAATACTTCGGACAGGCGCCGTCATTTTGTAGTTTTCTTTCAATAAGCCTACACTGTAATGCCAGACAAAAAAGAACTACACTACCCAGAAGCCAACAGTGCTTCCGGCCGCTGCTTTCTGCCGAAATGGAGATAAAGTTTTGCAACACAAAGTCACAAGTAACGATCCATCTATTAAGCTCACAGAACTGGCAGGAAAATCGCAAAATAATCCTGAAGCTCAATTATCCATGCGCACATCAACCTGGACGGGGTGGTGGGCTTCACAGCTGCAGGGTAGGTCTGCAGAACCGGAACCGAGCCCAACCAGAACTGAGCTGCTGTTCTGCAGAGCTGGTGAGCAAGAGTTTGTGGTACTGTACAATACATATATGTATGTTGTTAAAATTACATAGGTTTAAGAGTTTAGAACGTTGCGAGAGCGTGAGAAGGGTTTATAAAGCCTTAAAATATATAAATACTAAAATAAATATTGCATTTCTACTTTGCGGTTTTTCATCCGTCACGGTGGTGTGTGGAACGTAACCCCAGCGATAATCGAGGGACTACTGTATTTACACAAGGCAACAGAAATTAGTTAAGAAGGGGTACTAAATGTACACAGGCCAGGATCAAACTGGAACAGGACCACTGTGTTCAGCCGGGTCACCAACACACAGCCCAGCCCCACAGCATTAATCCTCAACCCCAATAAAACACCTTGACTGATAGACTGACTATAGACCTGCATGTATATATCAGGGCAAATGTCTGCTGAGTGCGTGTTATTAGTGGAGGCAGACATGCGAGTGAGTGTACGTGCGCTGGACGTTTGAGGGTTTATGTAGAGGACTAGCTGTCAGAACAGTAATCTGTTCTGACAGCTAGTGCTGCCGAAGCGCTTGACAACTCAAGCACTTTATTATTAGCCAGGCAAGACCCGTTTTGGAGGGGGTCGTCCAAAACCATCCCCAGTGAAATATTTTCACAGCAAGGGGAGAAGGGAAGAGAAGATTTGGTCTGTAAGTCTCCATGAAACATACAGGCCAAATCAAAAGCAGAAAACCCATCACTGGTGAAGCGTCTGAGCGGTGAACTGAACAATAGAAGAATACCAGTGTAAAAACAAGATTCAGCTTTGATTTCTGTTGACTTTAGGAGGGTTTAAAGAGTCGGACAGGAGGTGTCTCGCTCTAAAGCCTAGGCTTTGAAAAATAACTTTGGTCGTAAAGTGGAACAATAGAAGTTTATCTTTTACTTAGACAAGACTAACGGAAAAGAAACTCCATTCAATTGTTAGTTCTTTCATCAAGTTGAGGACTAACATTACTTTTCATTAACTTATAATGGTCTTTAGTTTCATTTCTGCTAATGTGTCCCTAAAAAAGTTTAAAAAAATTCTTGAAATACTGCTTGTTTGTGTCATTACTGAGAGTTAAATGAAGAGAACAGAACGCAACTTTGTTTTTTAACCTTGGACTTTTCTATCGTGGCCTGAAATTGGTTTTATGATAAATATGACACAATCTTAACAGATATTTACATTATTTTGTACAATAACATGCATGTTATAGGGACATTCCTGAAGTGACATAAATAATGAAAGTGAGCGCAGAAATTGTTGAAATTGTTACCCTAACCTAGCTCGCATTACTGTTAGCTACTAAGCTAGCTATTCTATCTAACAAGGTTAACAAGGATTCTTCTTCAAAGCACCTGACTAATCCTTGTTAGCTTTATCTACCTGGATTATTGAGCATAATCAGGACATATTGTTTTGATGTTTTAGATAAATTATGTAAGGGAATTGTTTTTATTGTGCACCTAAAAAGATGAATGTGTTTGTTTTACCCTTACAAGTATCAACCAGTAGTCTACGCAATACACAGGCATACGGAGTATACCCACTAGAAAAGCTTGAGAATTTCAGTACACCCACTTAAAAGTGCCCATTGATACATGACACATCATTAGGCACGTGTCATTGATAGGATAAACGGCAGTTAAACGCTTCCATAGAAATCTATCTGTTTGCAGAGCTTGTTTATACATTCGCTTATCAGCAAATTATTGTATAATTAATACTGTTGTAATTACTACTTAATACTTGAACATGTTTTGCTTTGATACTCTTTTATATTAATTCTTTAACATGTTTTTAATACAAAGCCAACTGTTGTACAAAGTTTGTTGTACATTTATTCAAAGCATCAGAGAAATTTGGAAATGTCCAATCTGAGTAAAAATCAAAATAAATTGACGATGACATTGTACTAACCAGTGTACTTTGGTTTCTAAGCACAGTATACTCACTATAAAAACGTAGACTACACCACTGGTATGACCCTCAATATATATATGAATAGGCATGTAATTTTTCAGCTGTGGCATGAAATACCTAAAATCGTCAATCAGTACCTGTTCAAGACTGCCCTGTGCTATGTTCATGACCAGAGTGATACCTGATGGTGTTTTAAACGTGTATCACTCACTAATCATTCCCAGATTTTATTTGTACTTATGTGTCAATCACAAAACAAACTTCTGCAGGGTGTGTATCATAAAGACACATCATCTTCCTCCATAATCCTAATTCTGTTCTTTTCTGCACAATTACCCCCTCCAACACCACCACCACCACACACGCACGCACGCACGCACGCACGCACGCACGCACACACGCACGCACACACACACACAAAGTTCACTCGTTTACCTGTCCCGTGCTCAAAGCACTCTGCTGTCCCCATTTGTGTGAGTAGTTATCAGTGTGGTAACTTTATCCCCTTCCTTTCATGTAAAATACATTGTGCTGAGCCTCCTCCCTCCAACCCCCTTCTTCCTCTATTCTGCCCACACACCCCTCCCATTCCATCAAGTTCCCCCACCCTGGGAGGTGTAAGTCTATCCGTCTCTTTACAACGCCAAAAATGCCTCCTTTTCAGGCATAGTAGGACGCTATAAAAGAAAAAAAGTCAGGGAGTGAAAGAAAAGAACAAGGTGAGTCTGTGGAGCAGGGAATAGAGGAGGAGGCATTCAGGTGAACTGGATAAAAGACATTGCTCTCTTTCTGTGCTTTTCCTTCCTTAAGGTAGTATCTTAATAGGCCGCGACTAGATGGCAAACAGCTTTCATGAGGAAGTCTCCTGAACGTCTCCAGAATGTCTTGCAACGTTCGCGGCTGTTCTCAGTTCTTTGCATGAGTCGCAGAAGAATACAGTCCTTCTGTCACCTGAGTTTTGAATTTATTCAAACAATTTACGCAACAAGATTTTTCTCACAATAAACTCAAAGTTGTTGTGGGCGTCTCCATCTCATCTCAAACCCAACTGAATTGTGTAGCAGGCGTCCTTCATACGGTCTCAGACGCACTAGAGCTGTATTTGGACCCCTACACAGAGATCTCCTCTGACATAAAATGGTTCTAAAAACATGCAGATGATAAACTAATTATTGATACACAGGTTCAGATCTGCCTGTTTTTATTTTTAAAGTACAGTATACTCTGTAGCACAGTGGTCCCCAAACTTTTTTGCACCACAAACCGGTTTAATGTCAGACAATATTTTCATGGGCCGGCCTTTAAGATGTGGCGAATAAATACAACCAAATAAAATGATCCAACTGGCATAAAAACTGGTATTTACACTCTGGTTGTAATAGTAAAGGTTAAACATACCTTCAACATAAGATACACCACAAAAACAAATAAAGTGCATGAAAAATACAACTCACCATAACGCTAAATTAGTGGGAGCCCTGAGCTTGTTTCTGCAACAAGACGGTCCCATCTAGGGGTAATGGGAGACAATGACACCTCCGAGCGCTGAATCATACGTCTTTGTCGCCACCATATTGAATGTGGCATACTAATGTTCTTTAGGGTCTGGTTATTATAGACGCAGATTAAATGTTAAATAGGAATATTTCTACATTTATTACCGCAGTAATAGTGTAATGCACACATTAGTACTTGTAAACATTCAAAAGAATAAACGTTTTTTAGTGCTAACCTAGAACCTAAACATTTAAGGAGTAATCATTTTTAATAATCACGTTAAAAGTTACAAATGTCTTTGGTGCCTGTTTGCTTTCCAAATATATTACAATATTAAAAAATAATATTATAATATAAGATAATATTAAAAGATGTGAAGCTCTCGACCTTGACCTCTCCAAGTAGCTTTAAACATCTGTCGAGTTTCTGGGAAAAAATAATGCAGACAAGTTCCTGTTTTTAAGTTTTCTACACCACCTTAAAATCTAGCTGTTTTTTCGCTATTTTTCCTTTTAATTATCCTTTTAATTACCATTTTATTTTCACTTGTAAAAAAATAAATACATTTGTACGCATCCTTTATTGTCTTTTGCCGTTGTTGTCATCACTCTTTGTTAAAGTAAAGGTCTCTCTTGTAAATGAGTCCCTGAGGCTCAATGGGATTAACCTGTTTAAGTAAAGGTTTAATGAATTAGTGTGTGTGAATGACAGGCATTAACTTAAAGCACTTTGTAGAATGGTGCTTTACGAAGTTCAGTCCATTTCCTTGTATTTGTTGACTGGCAGATCTGCCGCATTCAATATGGCAGACGCTCTTATGTACCGCTGTAGTGGGCCAGTCTGCTCAATGAGGCGTCTACATATATAAGTCTATGGAGGAAAGCATCTTGACCTGCGTCAAGAGTGAGTCATAGACAGATGTGGAGGAGAGTATCCAGTAATTTTCCAAAATAGAACATTGTTCAGAATCAGATACTAAATAAAATGGAAATAATGTAAGTTATTTATTCTTTCTGTGTGGCCCGGTACCAATTGACCCATGGACCGGTACCAGTCCACGGCCCGAGGTTTGGGGACCACAGCTCTAGCAAATATCCATCTGTGTGAGCGGCTGCTAAGGTGGGTAGAAAACAATTCAAGGTTTCCTGATGTATACCCAATAATCCAGAGAGAAAAAGCAAACAAGGTTAATTAAGTGAGGTCCTCTAGATGGATTCTTCTTGTTGAAATGTTTCGTCTTTTATTCAAGGTTGGTACGATGTGGGCAAAGGTGGACAATTATATTAAGTGCAAGGCTTTGAACACAATACACAAACAGTACAGTTATTTTTCACACAGCCTTGCACACAAAAATAGTCTGTCATTTTACAAATTATTTAAAAAAAAAATTTTATTTACTGGAATTTATCTGAATGTTTTCACAGTTTTTCTTTAATAATAAATCAGTTTGTGTTTGTTGACATGTTAAGCTGCAGACTTTTTGCTGATTAATCTCACAGATTATTTTTATTTCATGAAACAGCAGTAAATCCACATGTGTGAAGTCCAGAGGAGGAGGACTCATCCTACTCACTGCACTGGTAGTCTTCATACTTTCTGTTTAAACTGGCTCCTTATTGTCTCACAGAGTGACGGGATCCCAGATACAGTTTAATGCAGCTTTACTCTACGGACACAAATGAAAAGTCATTGATGGATGTGTGTGTGTGTGTGGGGGGGGGGGGGGGGGGGGCGCACTGGTTCTGCGCTGTTGATTGTGCATTTGGCCTCAATTGCCCCTCCTCAGTAAATCTGATGAAGGTGATTAAAAAAGCAACTGGGGGAAACCTAAACCATTATGGCCAACCATGCATACACACATACACACCTTCTGTCACTTCAGCATGTGACAGAGATGCTCTTAATACTTGTAATTTAATATAAATTTAAGACGCAAACAGTATTTATGTTAACCACTGAAACGATTCAACATGACCAATCAAAATCAGAACGGTTGACACAAAACCTGAAACAAATGCCAAACTCATCCTGGAAAAGTTGTCCGAGGTACAAGAACGAGGTAGAAGCAGGATCAATAAGTCATTCATTTGACTTCTTATTGTAACAACCACTACAATCACACCCTGCAAGTCATTTGGAAAGAAGAAAAACGACAGTTCAAAGTTTTGAGAAACTTTGTAATGTTTTCAACCTGAAACACATTTTCATTACTACTGCTGCCATGAATTTGCCTGAGTGTGTGTTTATCTGCCACAAGTATCTCATGTACCACAGGATGGACTTTACTGACACTTTAAAAAAACTAATCACTGAATGTGCATCTAGGCCTGTCACGATAAACAAATCAATTAATCGAATGATAAATGAAAAATTATCAACCTCATTTTCATTTACCGGCTTTATCGTTTCTTCATGTCTCTCTCTTTCTATTGAAGAAACGGCTCAACTCCGGTGCCCTTCACTGACCCATCCCTTTCTCTTTTCTCTTTAAAATCTGTTTTAACAATCCAAAATCGCGTTTTTGGATTGTTAAAAGCAGCTAAGCTACGAGCAAAGCTAACATGCCGACCTCGGGAATAAACTTCCGTCTTGTCGAAGGTCCAAAATTCACGATTTAAACCCGTGCCTTCGTGTAAAAAGTCGTTTTTCTCTGCAAAACGAAGCTGAGAACTTGTTTACTGATTTTTTATTAAAAGCTTTGTGTGAAAAATGCTATGCTAAAGAGCTCAAACCACTGAGCATCCACCATGTCACCTTGTCAGCCCATGTCACGTCAAGGGTCCTCTCTCCCATTTTTCTTAAAGAGACACACTGTTCAACTATCCATCCTTTGGTTCAAACAGTCTTATACTGCCATCAGTTGGTCAAAAAAGGTACTACACTCCAAACAAATCAACATTTCTTCTAAAATTTGACAATTAATTATTGTTAAATTTCAAACAATATTATCGTGAATTTATAATCGATTAACTTTTGGAGCCAACCTGATCCAAGATGGCTGACCACCCCACCCCCACTGTGAGCGCTTATCAGAGATGTACCAGCTGAAACCAACATCTTATCAGGACTATGGATCTATCTGGAAGTGTTTCATGGACAAAATCTCACCGACTTGTCGTCAAATGCATATGCGTCTATAAATGTGCTTGCTGGTAGATTTTTTTGATGTCTTAAACATGTGAAGAGATCTTTTTTTAAATACCCACTATCCTCATGTTTTTTCCCCTTTTCTTATCTAAAGAATAAGGGCCGTGCTCCTAGGAGCTGCAGTTTACTCTGCCCAACTTTCAGACGACTCATGGAATACAATCTCGCTGGACTTCACTGTGCAATGACAATAAAGCTTGTTCTGATTCTTCTGATTCTGACTCACCTGTAATGGCCCAAACTTGCCTGACAAAGAGTGACCCATGCAATTACAGTTGCATAAATTCAATAATCTGAACAAAACACAATACATGAAATTGAGTTAAAAATATAAGGTAAATCCATGAAACAAACCTGTATAACTAAACATGCATGGCGTTTTAGCTAAAATCCACCGGCACTGCAAAAAAACTCTTTTACACATTTCTGTTTTTGTCCAAATTGTTCAATTTTGTTTATGGAGGTAAAATTACATTTTAGATTTGTTCTTTAAAATGTATAAATAGAGGTTATGATTGATGACCAGGTGATCTGTGATCAATCTCTCCCTCATTGTCTGCCAGGTTCCTGCTACCCTGAACAAGAACAAGAGGGTAAAGTAAAAAGATTTGGTGGTAGTACCCTGGGTCAAAAACAAGATCTTGTATTGTATGCCTTACGCGTTTTCATGATTTAAAAATTGTGCATTTTTAACCCCCCAAATAAATTACCATTTGAGACTTTTTGTTGAATACTTCCACTGATATGTATAAACTTAGGCCTGTCACAATAAACAATAAATCAATTAATCGCATAATAAATGAAAATTATCAACGTCATTTTCATTTATCGGCTTTATTGTTTC